ATACTGGGAGCAGCGTCCCGTAGGACGACCCAAGCGAAGGTTGACAGCCACAAAGTCAAACTCGGTTTATTTTAAATAGGGGATTATTTTATGAGAACATTTACCCTTTGTTGACAAAGAGATGTTAGAGGAGATGGTTTGGTTGGGAGAGCTGCTGACGGCGGCGGACAGGTGCTGACAGCAAGAGCTTATCCACAACAACCTTTACACACTTCACTTCTTCACTGCACCCCCTATCACCTGTCCTGTCAACGCCTCGGGAATGGGGCGGATCACTATATGTGAGTGTTGAAATCACTCGCTTAATCTTCCTTAACCTTCACTCTCATATACCTCACCTTACACACTCTCTCTCACCCGCCCTCTCTATCTCTCTAAAATATTTTCCAGATTAGGCCTTTCTATTTCCAGGACTAGTTATATGAAGGATGGTCACTATAGGGAGGGAGGAAGGGCGCTTCTTTTTGATTTACGGAGTATGAGTATTTATGACTCGTATGGTCGCTTCAGTTAGATTTTGCCCCGTGTGCTTAACAACTTCTGCTCTGTTGAATGTAAGTTGAAATCCTAATAGGTTTGTAACTGTGCATTGTGTTAGATAATGTTCCAGTGGTCTGTCGGGCAGTTCTCCAGTGGTGACATTTAGGGAGGTCACTATAGGGAGAGAGGTCGCTATACGAGGGAGGTCACACTTCTGGGCTCCTCTACACAACCAATGTAACATTCGAAAGTGAAAATACTTCTTGTTTTTCAGTCATAATTGTGGAGGTCAGAGTGAGAAAGTTCAGGCGTGAAGGGAGAGAGAGAGAGACGGGATGAGGGTGAGAGAGTGTGGTAGCGGCATATGGTGGATAGACACACCAGGTGGGGGACCGTCATTACGCCTGAGCCACACCCCAGCTGGCTGTCTGTCTGTCTCAAGTAGTCCTCGTTGACTTCCTGCGTCAGGTGCCCTGTGCTTGCTCCAGGGCGGCGTCCGCCGGCCCCCCAGGGCACACCGCGCCTCTACGCCCTGGAGGGAAGAAGTAGAAACCAGGACAGCTTCCCTGTCCGTTTATAACTCATCCCTTCAACATGGTGTCCTGGTGTCGTTAGAGCTCTACCATAAAACGTGGTCTGGGTCACCTGGGAACGACACCCACACAGCTCTCTCTCTGTCTCTCTCTCTCTCTCTCTCTCTCTGCAGGCGACGCAGCTGGGGGCGCCCTTACAACTTGGCGCCATGCTGGCAGGGGAGACTCTGTTAATTACTCGCAGGTGTTAAGGTGACTATCAGGAGAAAGTCCTTCAAGCCAGTATGACTACATAGCCTGCAATACGCATCAGGGCTAAAACTCATCAAGCACTCTCGTAGTCACTTACGAAACCTGTACATCTTTTAACAATTATGGTGAAATTGTGTACATTTACTAAACACCAACACGGAAAACCTTTTAAAAGAGGTCACCCCCCCACCCGCCCCCTACCAAAACATAATCAGTCATGGTGCTATTAGAAATATTTAATATTTATATATTAACGGAGGAAATTGCTAGAACTCATGATAAAATCATCTTGCTGCTCAGGATAGTTAGTTTGTTGCAATTTCAGTCACCTAAGCTCTAGGAGACTCGAACCACGGTCCCCACGCTTGTGAGGCAGAAACTCTATCCACTCTCTGGGCGAGTTTCCTAGAGCACAGGAGAATTTAATGTTTATTTCAACGGAAGTGTGAAAGACAATTTGTAGCAGTGTTCCCAGTCAGGAGTTTCAAGCAGCACAGTCGACAACCTCCCACCTCCGTGTCCACATGCTTACTGCCACACCCACAGGGTCTCACGTTCTCTATTGGTGCGTTGCGGCGCTGTTATCATATTGCCAATTTTATGGCAATTATAAATAATTTTCTTAACTAATAAATTACTACTTTTATGCTATTTTGTTTACATAATTTTAGAATGAAGTATTAAAGTAAAATAAATATTACTGATGTTATATTGATTCCATATTGTTACATTATGTTCTAAATGTTGTTGATGATCCATTGATCCAACCTTTTTAATAAATTTAACAATTATCGTACACGATGCAGAGATGATCGCGGGAATGTTAAATAATTGCACTTAACACTCAAACAACATTCTCCTCCTGGGCCACTAACCATCATAATTAATCGACTAATAAATTAAAGAGCAATGGGCGCGTACATTAAGGCCGTCACTTGCCTCCCACACAAACACCCACACGTAATTAGTTCCCACAATTATGGAGAAAGCGGACCCCTGCAGGACACATTTGACGCGGGCTGAACGCACCCCGGGGAATCCGGAACAGCTGTGCGAACGATGGCCCGTCTTCTTCCGTCTTGGCTGACGAATAGGAACATTGGGCGAACCAAAGCTCGGCTTCCACCGTCTTCGTTCACGAACAAGACAGGAGAGATAAACAAACAAGTTCCCGTCTTTCACTGTCTTGACTCGCGAACGCACAGAAAGTTTTTTTTTTTAAGAATTAAAATCTATTTAGCATTCAGGTCCCACTAAAAGCAATTTTGATATTTTATAATATATATATATATATATATATATATATATATATATATATATATATATATATATATATATATATATATATATATATATATGTTGTACCTAGTAGCCAGAATGCAGTACAAGGCCTACTATGTAAGGCCCGATTTGCCTAATAAGTCAAACTTTCTTGAATTTATATATTTTTCGATTTTTTCTTATGAATTGATAAAGCTATCCATTTCATTATGTATGAGTTAAGTTCTTTTAATTTGAGTTAAAATGAACATAGATATATGATCGAACCTAACCAACCCTACCTAACCTAACCTAAACTAATATAGCTAAGTCAATAATTTATGTTCTTAACATAAAATAATAATAATGTTTCAAATAAACCAATTGGAAACAATATTTTGAAAATCACTCAGCCTATTAGGCAAATCTGGCCTTGCATAGTAGGCCGAGAAGTGCGTTCTGGGCTACTAGGTCCGACATATACCTCAATAAACTTATTTCAATTTCAGGCCTACAGATACCACCATCGTTGTACATATCAAGGGTCCTTTGGTGACTGGGAACTGGTCTTACCTGAGAGAGCAGGAGCTGTGTGGTATGTCCTGTGTGGAGACTATCGTTAATATCCTGATGAGTATACCCGGTGTCACTGGGCTGACCGGGTATGTTGTATGACGCAGTGTATGAGGAAGGCTTGAGTATGAGGGAGGGTGAGTTTGTTGAGCGTTCAAGAAGAAATATTGTTTTGTTGATGTGAGAACGTGAAGGACCGGGTTGTTTCAGTGAAATATTAAAGGTTTTAATGGTCTTATTTTTGAGGATATCGTTGGGGGTGTACTGGCTAAAGCAGTGGGCTCTAAGTCCAGGGCTTTTGTTTGTAAACAATTAGAAGTATGATCTCTTAGCTGTAAATGAGTTGGGCCAAGTATTACCCACTCAAAGCTTTAGCTGTTAATGCTTATAGCTAGTTTTGCCTTACATTAGTGCGAATATATAAATACAAAACGAGTATATGGAGCGAGTTATCTCCTGGGAGTGAGTGTATTAGAGTAGCTGTAGAGTGTATAGAGCAACTGGCGGGAGAAGAAACTGTGGGACACAGACGCACGCGCACGACCGTCTCCTGCCAGGTCTGGCTCGCTACTGATCTCCTATAGGAGTGACCGGCGCTCTTCCCTTACTCATTCCAGTCCTTAGGCTCCTCCTCCTTTTCCTCCTTCTCCTCTAATTGAATACAAACGTGAATTCGGAAGCCTCTCGTCCCATATGTGAAGGCCTATGGGGCACCTCTTGCCCCGAAATGTGGTTTCTGTTTACATCATGCACAGCTGATTGAAATTGAAATAAATTTAATGAGGTAAAATACACACAAAGGGATGATGTAGCTCAAGCTATTCTCACCCCGTTCAGTACATCGTGTTAATACGTACATATACACACATCACAAACAATTAACATATTACCGAACATTCTGAGAGATAAACATCTACATTTCCTAATTGTTGTGCGGAATGTGGCATTGGTATCCTAGCCCGGCGCCAGCCTCAGCTTTTCTTATTCAAAACACAGCTATTCTCTTCTTGTTACTGAGAAAGATATTAATATAGAGAACGATATTACGGAGAGAGATATTGCTGAGAAGAAATAACTGAAATTCTACTGAGATTGTCAACGGTCTAAGCATTCACATATTAGGCTTTTCGTGGGTTTTTTCACAGATTTCTCTGTCCTAACAGTGTTTTTCACCACTCATTCACATTCTTCTTTTAGCATTTCCTTTATCAGACGTTCTCTTAAGGGTCTTTGTCTCTGCTTCCATCGTTATCAAATCTTTCTGTGTCGCGTGACGTTGGGTCTCTACATATTGTCACTTTATCCATAGTCTCTTGAGCAACATAGAACTAAAGAACACACACAACACAAATATATATCTCTATCTCCGCTCATTGTTGTCGGGTGTCGAGAGTAGGGTTCCAGGTGACGATTGTCGGACTTGCCTAGTCGGCGGCTGTCCCTACAGGTGTGTGTGTGTGGTGTGGGGGAAAAAAATAGTAGTTAGTAACAGTTGAGAGACGGGCCGAAAGAGCAGAGCTCAACCCCCGCAAGCACAACTAGGTGAATACACAGAGTGACAGATGCTACAAAATTTCACAGGCAAAAACATTTTCCAAAGTGACTTACTAAACTGTGGTGGATGTGCATTACCACCCAGCACACACACACACACACACACACACACATGTTCTGCCTTCACACACTTTCTCTGTATCAACTCTGCCTTTGGACAAACAAGCATTCTGAATTGGGTCTTGGGTTTAAGGCCTAATCACCCTCTGGAAGGTTGTTAAGGCGACACTACAGTTTACTAGGCAATCAGCAAGTACATTTTAACTTGTATCCTCATGATTGTAGTCTTGCAACACAATCGTTCTTTCGATTTGCTACTCCGTAAACAATGCAACTGTTTTGTCTTACGTGGAATGTCCAGACCCATGCCGCCTTATAGCTGAGTGGATAGCGCTCGGGATTCATGGTCTTGAGGTTCCGGGTTCGATCCCCAGTGGAGGCGGAAACAAATGGGCAGTTTTTTTTAACCCTGATGCCGCTGTTTACCTAACAGTAAATAGGTACCTGGGAGTTAGATAGCTACTACGGGCTGCTTCCTGGGGGGGGGGTGTAACAAAAATGAGGCCTGGTCGAGGACCGGGCCGCGGGGACGCTAAGCCCCGAAATCATTTCAAGATAACCTCAAGATCTCAAGATAACCTGCCCTCACGGCCACATCTGCCACCCACGCCCACACCTGCCACCCACGCCCACACCTCTCACCCACTGCTCCGACCCACGCCCACACCTTCTACCCACGCCCACATCTGCCACCCAAGCCCACACCTGCCACCCACGCCCACACCTCTCACCCACTGCTCCGACCCACGCCCACACCTTCTACCCACGCCCACATCTGCCACCCACGCCCACACCTGCCACCCACGCCCACACCCCCTTCAACTCTGTTTTTTATCATCTCAATTTTTCTCAGTAGAGAAGGCGTGAGGGAGGTGAGAATGGTTGAGGGGCCGTGTTCCCCAAGCGTCTCCGTTCTTACGTGTTGTCGTGTTGTTCTGGTCTATCACGTCATCAAGAGTAATGAACCATTGGTTGGGATTCTGTGGTGGTTAGAAAGCTGTTGTGTATAACGAGGTCTGTCATGTTTACGTGTGTGTGTGTGTGTGTGTGTGTGTGTGTGTGTGTGTGTGTGTGTGTGTGTGTGTGTGTGTGTGTGTGTGTGTGTGTGTGTGTGTGTGTGTGTGTGTGGTTTTTATGGGTGTATTCACCCAATTGTTCTCACTTATCTGTGCCTGCAGGACTGAGCTTCAGCTCATGGGCCCCGTCATTTTGGCTGTCTATCGTCAAATTTTCTGGCTCCCAATCCACAAGGTTGAACCTAGATGTAACGTTAGACTTAACTAGCGACTTAACTAGTTAAGTCTAGTTAACTAGACTTAACTAACTTAACTAACACACACTATATATTTAATCCCATTCACTGATTACCCTTAAAACAGAAACGTTCCATTTTCTACCTTTGACTCATCTGTGTGTGTATATATATATATATATATATATATATATATATATATATATATATATATATATATATATATATATATATATATATATATATATATATATATATCTGCTGTTGAACGCGCTAAACATTTCATCTTTAATTACTCTGCCAATGCCCCCTCCCTTCCCCCAATAGGATCTTGTATTTCGCGATCATGTCTTCTTTTACCAACTTGGTTCCAGTCCAACGCGGGAGGTTATTTGCCCAAGAATATAATTTTTGTATCGGAGAAAACCCATCTTAAAGACATCCCTTAAAGGGGCATCCCTTAAAAGGTATTATAGGCGTACCTTAACTCTTATATGTTAACTTATGCCCATCAATATGGTTGAAAATCTTGCAAAGTTCAATAGGTTGAACTTTGGTTGAGCACAGACCAGGACGGTGAAGAACAAACTAAGAACAACTTATCATCCAATACGTCGCATCATATTACGGAATGAACCAATCCGTTAACAAATACGGCGTGTTATTAAACGTTAAAGCACCATAATATTGACGCTTCCTATGCATCATCCACCTCGATAGGTTAGGTGGGTTGCTTGGGGTCGTACGTGTACACACACACACACACACACACACACACACACACACACACACACACACACACACACACACACACACACACACACACACATACACACATACACCTACACACACACTGCCTACGTGAGACCCGTCTTAGAGTATGCCGCGCCATCATGGAGCCCCCACCTGAAGAAACACATAAAGAAACTGGAGAAGGTTCAGAGGTTTGCGACGAGGCTTGTCCCAGAGCTACGAGGGATGGGATATGAAGAGCGGCTGAAGGAACTGAACCTTACGACACTAGAGAAAAGAAGGGAGAGAGGAGATATGATAGGGACATATAAAATACTCAGGGGAATTGACAAAGTGGAAATAGATCAAATGTTCACACGTAATAATAACAGAACGAGGGGACATGGGTGGAAACTGGAAACTCAGATGAGTCACAGAGATGTTAGGAAGTTTTCTTTTAGCGTGAGAGTAGTAGAAAAATGGAATGCACTTGGGGAACAGGTTGTGGAAGCAAATACTATTCATACTTTTAAAACTAGGTATGATAGGGAAATGGGACAGGAGTCATTGCTGTAAACAACCGATAGCTAGAAAGGCGGGATCCAAGAGTCAATGCTCGATCCTGCAAGCACATATAGGTGAGTACATATAGGTGAGTACACACACACACACACACACACACACACACACACACACACACACACACACACACACACACACACACACACACACACACACACACATACACACACACACCTACACACACACACACACACACACACACACACACACACACACACACACACACACACACACACACACACACACACACACACACACACACACACTGTAGAAAAAACAAAACCCCTGGATACTAGACAAAGCAAACTCAACAGGAACAAACTTAATATTCCAAAGGCTACAGAAGCCTACCTAGTCACCTGCTAACTTGAGCTTTAAATAATACATTTTGAAACAAGATATCTCCCAGAATTCTGGACAAAGGCAAACATAGGCCTAATCTTAAAACAAAAGGGACAGACTGGAGGCGCCAAACTACACACCAATATCACTAACAACTCTACGACTCAAACGAGAATCTTTTGTCTTGATTCTTCTCATTAACTTCGTATCCGTTTGTAACTATGAATACGTGTGTGTATGTGTGTGTGTGTTTGCCGACACTTATCCTTGCGTAACTAATTCCAGTTAATATAAGCGTTACAAGCACCCAATACACCTCGCGCCACACCTGAGGTGAGCCACAACACCCACGCCTCCAGCCTAACAGTAGCTGAAACAAGCCACTACCGAAATTACCTGCAAGATCGTTTAGAGTTCTGAGTGATGATTTGGTCGCTTCGTCTGGTGATTAATGAAGCTTCCCGCTGACCAGCTGACTTGTGTGTGGGTGCGTGTGTGTGTGTGTGTGTGTGTGTGTGTGTGTGTGTGTGTGTGTGTGTGTGTGTGTGTGTGTGTGTGTGTGTGTGTGTGTGTGTGTGTGTGTGTGTGTGTGTCATCATCCTTACTACTGTCACCACTACCAGTACAACCTCGACAACCACCACCACTGCCACCACCATTCTGTCGAACACAGGAAGGGGAGTCTCCACCACACACAACACTTTCTCAACGCCAAACTTTGTTTTTCCTGCATGGACGAGTGTCAGACGCAGATAGTGCCAGCCCCAGGGAGTGTCAGGCCTCAGGGAGTGCCATTTACCTGTGCCCAATAGTTTAGCGGTGTCAAAGATGGAGCCCGCGGGCCAGTCGGGTGCCAGAGTCATGGAGGGCTGCCAACGTGGTGCCCATTTTTAAGAACAAAATAGATTCATTTGCCTCGAACTTTCGTCCAATTTCCTAAACCACTATTGTGGGAAAATTGTTTGGAACGACTACCGGAAAATACATTAATTTACATCTTAAATGGTTTAATAAAGGACTCACGATATGGATTTATTAAGATCTGTTCATGTTTAACACACGTTCTTTCATTCTTTTCCAGTATATTTGAAGAGGATGACAGTAGGAAGGATGTTTTCTATCCCAGACTCCTTCCCATGTACCCTCCCAGGTCCCCTCCCAGGTCTCCTTTCCCAGCACATCTCCCAGGTGGTAATGAGACACACTTTCACCTTCTGGAGACCAGCCACAGTCTGCCGCCAGCTGCCGCCAGCTGCCGCCAGCTGCCGCCAGCTGCCGCCAGCTGCATATTCTTAAGAACCACAATTTCTACCTAAATGTTTCCAACATTTACTTCAACTTGTTTTCTTGTTATTTAACAACGTTCTTTCATTTTATTTTGGCTGTTTTTGTTTGCATGTTCGTCTACGTTTAGCGAACAGTTTGTTACTTTTGGGTGGTTTTAATTTTTTTTATTTTCGTGTTGGGTTTTAGTGTTTGGTTGTGTTGGAGTATTGTTTGTTTGTTTGAAGTAGAGGCACACCCACTGAGGCACTCACCCACTCACCCACTCACTCACCCATCCACTCACCCACTCATCCAAACACGGCCACCACACAAAACACATCACTCCCTCAGCCTCCAACCAATCATATACGCATAATTACAAACATTTCCCCGTGAACAAATGTTTTGTTGGTTTATAGAATTTGACAGACTGACACACACACACACACACACACACACACACACACACACACACACACACACACGTGACACTTTAACATATAAGACATCAGACAGGTGGTAAAATACATTTCTCTTTCACTTCCCCTTCTCTCTCTCTCTCTCTCTCTCTCTCTCTCTCTCTCTCTCTCTCTCTCTCTCTCTCTCTCTCTCTCTCTCTCTCTCTCTCTCTCTCTCTCTCTCTCTCTCTCTCTCTCTCTCTCTCTCTCTCTCTCTCTCTCTCTCTCTCTCTCTCTCTCTCTCTCTCTCTCTCTCTCTCTCTCTCTCTCTCTCTCTCTCCCTTTTCCCTCTCTCTTTATTTCTTTCCTTTACCTTTCTGTACATTCCCCCTCCAGTCTCTTTCTACCATCTATTCTCTCTATATTTCAGTCCTCTCTTTCAGCCTCCTATTTTCCCTTCTTCCTATTTCTCAGCCCAACTTTGCCACATGACGCCTGCTATCGCTCAGGAAATGTAAGTATTAAACACCAAAATAATAATAATATGGGCGTATAGCATTCTTTCGTGAGCGACAGACGGAGAAACTCTTTTGATCATAACAGAATTATCAAATTTTCACACACTAATAATAATAATAATAATGTAAATATATGTCTCTGACAAGGTAAAAGTTTTCTTTTTGATATTTGTATAAATTTATTGTGGCACTGACGACCGCTGTGGCTAAATTATAG